CTTTTCTCGTACGATCATCATATTTCAGTTTACGTTTATGTTTTGATTTCAATCATAACTGCTTACTGCCTTCTGCGATCTTGCGAACAAGTTTCTAAGTTCAGAACTCTCTAAATCTGCACTTAGACGTAAATCATTTTTTATCGAACGAACGCAGCTTTCGTTTTAATCGCTGAAAAATTTCCGCTGCATTAATTCACCCCCCCCCTCTTAGTGCTCTCGATCCTAACAGTAACAACCTCTTTTATTCTTAGGAATTCCTATAAAGTTACAAATTATACTATTCGTGATAGGTATGTGATGCCCTAAGAGATAAGTGGACACTCTATCATTTTCATCTACTTGTAAATTGTTATAAAACAACCTAACAAGTCTAGGATAAATGGGTTCACTTATTAGGAGGATTAGAAGGACATCTAAGTTGGCAAACCATTAAATTGGTTCTAAATTACCCATTTCTCCTAGATCTATATATTTTCCCTTATGAACATTTCTAGATTCAAAGGTTGGAAATTTAAGGGCTTGTTGGGATGAATCAAAAGAGTGTGGAATCATATGTTTCATCTACTCTCCTCTTACCTTTGTCCTTTAAGGATCTTCTAGATGCCATGGAACTAGAAAAGTTTATGAGGATTACCCTTGTAGTGATCTCTTGAAATGTTGAGATTGATCTTTAGATTTGCAAGAGATGAGGGTTTTCTTGAGTTTCTAGAGGAAGAGCAAGGAGAAAAAGAGGTGGAGAAAGGTTTAGAGGTGTGGGAAAGAGGTCTAGGAAGGCTTGGGGGCAATTCTACTGCTAGCCCTAAAAGCCCTTTTATCGGGCATAACTGCAGGTGATGGTACCGCCAGTTGGGCAGTGCTACCGCCTATGGGCAGTATGCTCAAGCGGTGCCACCGCCAGACCAGTGGTACCACCGCTTGTGCACTATCTTCAGCCCATTTTCAAGTTGCAATTTCACCTTTCAACCTAGCAGCTATATTTAGTATTTCAATCATCACTTTGTGCTTATGGAAAGTACAAGCTTCTTAATACTTTTGTAAGCCAATACTTTTCTATCTATGTGTATTAATAATTCAATCATACAAACCATAAATATCATAAATCCTTTTAATCATTCTCCACTAGTGCTCAACCTCTCCTTCCAACATAAAGGCAGCAAGAGAAACCTTATAATCATTTGGGCAATTTAAGACATCAAATATTTTCTCTATCTACATCATCCATTGTTTTCCTACCATTGGATCAGGCTCACCACTAAAATTGGGAGGACTAAGCTTATTAAATTATTCAATTCTCAACCGTGATTTGATGTCAGTGTTCCATCATTCCTAACAAGTGAAATAGCTTATTCCAAGAATAACAAATTTAGGGTGTATTTAGGAACATATGAAATGTGTATTGATAACTCAATACATATTTTAAATGTGACTTAAAATTTAATATTTTTTAAATCGTATTTGGTTTAGATGCTATTTCTTTTGTAAGATTATATGAAATTCTTTTGTAAGATTATATACATTGATTGATTGATTTTAGTTTATTTACTTATTATTTTAAATTAAAAATATATGTTCATTTTTAATAAATATTTAAAATATTAGAAGGATAAATTTATCACAAAATATTCAATAGACTTTTGAAACATAATTTTACTAAGCAACAATCACATCAATGCACATTTAAAATATAATTTTTATCTATTATTTATCAAATACTCAGAGCATTTCACAACTATACATTCACTCAAGCTTCCTTCTCTAAATGCATATTAAAAATATAAATATATTTTCAACACAATCTTAGAGTCTTATTATTCTATAAATGATTTATCCATCTCATCTTGGTAAGAGACAGATATATAGGAAAAAGAACCTGCTCTTAAGGTTTTTTAGAAATATCTTCCAAAATCTATATAAGAGGATGTTGAAAAAGGTTAAAGTTTTATTTTATATTTATTATTATTATTATATTAAAGAATCTATTTTTTTCTCCAAGTATATTTTTCTAGGTTTTTTTGTAAATTCTCATGAAAAGCTTACTGCAACTATGTGGTAGTAGAGAATTAATATATGTTCATATGCTATATAACAGCCATAGTTGTACTCTTCCTTTCCTTGCCAACAGATTTGTTTGGAGAGAAACGAGTTAGGGTTTCCATTTTCTACTACCAACACCTGAAATTTGTCATAAGAATTATAGATTTGGATCATCATTCGTATTATTCTTATCTGCATGCATGTATTAATAGACGCATGGCATGCGTGGATATGAATTCTGATCGAGCTGCAAATACAGACAACACATGTTTGATTCCCGTCCGAATTAGATTCAGAGTTTCTGCTCATTAGAAGATGCAAATATGGAGTTAATGATGACGCAAATAGTCTTTCTCCTTAATCAAATTAACGATAGGCTAATTAGACCTGCGATCGATGACTGAGAGTTGACCTCCACTGACAAGCGAGCGTCCTGACAAGAGACGAGAAAATGGAAACAATGGAAGCTGATCTCTGCAACATGAGATCTCAAACAGGACAGGGGAGGAGGAAGCTGCGTAGCGAGGGCTCGAGGTACTGGAAGGCTGCAGCCCATCCGGCCTGAGTCGGGTGTGCTGAGTCCCAGTAGAAGTGTTCCTCCGGGTGGCGGCACACCCTATACAACTTGTTCCCCTGGGCATCTACCTGACTGCAGGCTGCTGTGCCGGAGCTACTCTCGCAACATGGCACCAACAAGTACTTGATCGTCTCTGCTCCATTCACTGGACAAGTAAAGAACTACTTCTGATTCTTGCAATACATCTCTCACTTTGTTATATCAGGAGAAGATAGCGTAGCTGATTACCTTGACGGAGTACGTTTGAGAAGGCCGTGTTCACGTCAAGAGACAGGAAGGTTGTTGTATTACTACCTCCATCCAATTCCTCCACCAGTCGATCAACCCTGCGGTTATGGTCTGCCACTGCCGCCGATATGTTCGCGGGACAAATCGTGTAGTTCGTCTGCCGGGTGTAGTACGGGATGCATTGGATCGGGTGCAGGTTGGTGACGACCACTTTCGGAACCCCGATGCGATCAAAGCGCTTAAGGTCTGCCTTCAGCTGCGCGAACAGACGATCCATGAACCGATAGAGATGCTGCAAAAGCATGGGAAGAACGTCGTCATGGTTGTCGTTCTTTCTTTCGTATGGAAACCTCGTCATGTTTCCTTCTCGGATACTCACCAGCAAATAGTTCGGATCGAGTTGAGAGAAGTGCATGTAGTCATTCCCGGACGCAACGATCAACGCAACAGAAAACTTGATGTCATGTTCTGAGAAGACGCCAGCGTCGATCTGAGACTGGAACTCATCGATCTGAGCGGATAGGTTTCTCTGGAAGTTCCCCGTGTCGAAGATGCCAGAGCCGGAGACGGCAAAGTTCATGCCATTTTGTAGCAGCATCAGCTTGTCACCGACTCTTCTGATCTTATAGGGGATGGGAGAACTGATTCTGATAAGAGAAGCTGCCACACCATGTGGAAACAACTACATATTACTGCAGTTCTTTAGCCAGAAACGAGCTCAGACACATATGCTTGCAATCTAGCAAAGCTATGGAATCGGATGCGTACTTTTATATTCAATGGACACACTGTGGTGGTGGCCTCATGATGCGTAAAACCAAAAGAAACAATATATTACAAGGTGTTGAAGGGAAGTAATAATGCATGAAGGCATATCAACTGCAACCACTGATTGAGAGGAGAATAATATCGAGTCATGAGACAGTGAGTTGGTAAAAAGATCGCCAAAGCGAGAGTTCCTTTTGTAAAGATGTAAGCTACTTTAGACTACGCTGAAGAGAAGAATCACATGGACCGATGTAAACGTCGGTATTAGAAATAGATAGATAGATAGATAGAGAGAGAGAGAGAGAGAGAGAGAGAGTTACACGTGGTGTGGATAGATGAAAAAGCAAAGCAGATCTTTGTAGAAAGAGAGAGAGCTAAACTATAAGACAAAAGCTTAGTACTCTAAGGAAAGAACAGACTGACCAACGTAGTCGGTGAGGACCTTCCCGTCGGAGAACCGGCCGGCGGGCTTCTTGGGAAAGGTCATGCCGTAAGGCTCAAACCAGGAACGCGCGATGTTCCTCCCCAGCTTCTTCCCCAGGTTTCCTGTGTCGGCGTATGAGTCGCCGAAGACGAACAGCTTACGAGCTCGGTATTCCTCCTGCTTGCCAGTATCACTACCAGTAATCGTAGTCCCTGCAACATGAGAAGTCTCGTAGAACTGAACACCGATGAGCGTGAGAAGCAAACCAAACCGAGGTGAACCGAAGGCAGCCTTACCCATCATGAGGAAGACCAATGAGAAGGCACAAAGGATGACCCTCTCCATGGAAGAAGATGATGAGATCAGATGCAGAGAGAAAGGAGCTGTAGTAAGACATAGAGAGAGTATTTATAGGGACTGGACTAGGTTTTGTCCACCTGTAAAGTGGGACCCATTTGAATGTTCAATTCTCTCGGTATGTTCTTCCCACACCCCCCCCCCCCCCNNCCTCCTCCTCCTCCT